GAGAGGTGGTGTAGTTGTGCTCGTTTAGAGAGAGAGAGAGAGAAAGTGGTTGAGGTGGGGGTTCGTTTGTTGAGATGCGCAGAGAGGGGGAAGGTAATATACTGGTGGGGGAAGGTAGCGGACAAAAGAGAGCCGGTGGGGTGGGATTGAGAGAGACAGAGCTGGAGAGAGAGAGAGAGTTGGTAAGGATACTAGAGCGAGAGAGAGAGAGAGAGACAGAGAATTGGTAAGGAAACTACAGAGAGAGAGAGAGAGAGAGAGAACTTTCGTTGAAGTTAGTGGCCAGAGGGGGACTATTTGCCGGCGTCTCATTTTGGTTGGTGAAGGTGGTGTCTCAAAGCTGACTATTGACTACCGGTGATGTATTCCGGCTCACCTACCGCCATTTCTTTTTCCCGGTGGCCGGTAAAAGTTCACCTACTACCTTATGGGACCCGGTCTCGATTGGGTCTCTTTTGTTATACTGCGAGGGTGACGTCATCCGGCCGTCATTGCTGAACCGGCAGAGTCATACTGGCTACCGGATCGGCTCGGCTCGGCTCGGCTCGGCTCGGGGGAGGTAGCTTTAGAGTTTAGATGAGCTCGCATGTTGGCGAGATCGGGTTGACTCCGTAACAAGATTCATTCTCACTTTTTTATGACCACCTGTGTTGGTGGGTTTTAGCTTTAATCCTAAACCATAGGGAGACTACAAGGTGGTCCCACGAGACCACGTTGTCAAATGGTCCCACGCGCAAACTACCTTAGTGGGTTTCTGTGATACGAAATTTTCAAAGCAGATTTTTGGGAAGAACTTTCAAATACATAATAGAATTTTGAGCTTTTAAAATCCTTGATCTGTTGGTCCATGAGAAGACATTTTAGTGCCACTCTTCGAGCATGAGATTGTTTGGAATATATATATATATATATATATATATATATATTCCTTCTTTTAGCTGTAACATTTTATCTTTCATGTTTGTTTTTTCTTATTTGGGTTGATCTTAGAGATATTTAACGATTTACACATACTCTGGAGTGAAATACAACTCCTACAATATGGTCCCCCAGGACGCTCAAATCCTTTTCCCCTATGGATTTGGGGATATAATAAAACCGCTTCATTTGCTATGGTGTGAGGATTATATTTTTCCTAGTTCATTAATGAAGCACGAAAAAACATAGCCTACTGATTAGGTCTCGAAGATAATAATCTCATATAATGGGACAAATTTAAAAAATGATTTTAAAGGTATTAAAAGTTTATGAGGTGGGAGACCATCTTTTATAGATTTTCTACGCCTTGGGCTTTACTTCAATTCGTAAGGTAAAATCTTGACCGTCGATCTAATGAGACCCGTGGGGTGAGAGATTTGAGCCATCCATCTCTTTGATCCGTCAGCAAGATTGAAAGAGATGAGCTAGAACTTTATCTACTCTTTCTTTGATTTCTCATAAAATCTTTAAATTAAAAAAAATATATTTTATTTTCTATTTTAATTATCAATCTTTGTTGGCCACACGTGGCCCCACCCAAACTCACATGTTCTAAATTGAGTCCCATATATTTATGGAGGCCATACAATTTTAGAAATATTTTGTTTTGTATTGAGAAATTTTAAATATTATATTTTATTAAAAACAATGGAAAAGCAATTTCTCTTAATTTATAATCTAAATGACAAAAATAAAATATCATAAGATTCACATAAATTCAAATAAACATTCTAAAAATCATATATCATAAAATTAATTAAAACTAATTAATTTTGATGGGAATCATATCCGTTAGATATAATATTTATCAATATACGTAAGCACTCCACTTTCAATTACGGACCACGATCTACTTAGTTTTATCAAACTGACCCAGCAGTTCTCATAACACACAGTCCATTGTAGGAGCTCATGATTGAAATACCAAAATCAGCCAATAGACTAGGGGATGCAATCCCAGTATATGGATTTCAGGTTCTCCCTTAGAGACAAAAAAATCAAGGTCCTCTAGACCAAGATGCAACTTTGACTCTATGATGCATAGGGGTAATCTCTCATACATGTACACGCTTCACCCTCTGGCAAATCTTAAAATGACTATCTATGTATAGGACATGTGATGATATAATGATGATGATTTAGCACTGTCTCTAAAGGCTATTCATCACATGCAATGGCCACACAGTCCATTGGTTTTCATCTGGGCATACTCCAACCTCATTAAGGGCCAACCCACTAAATCCTTCTCGATAGATCCCTATGCCCAGGTACCTTGGGTTGTTTCAAACTCTATTAGCCTAGCACATCGAGCCTAGTTCGAGTATCGGCAAATCACATTTTCTTAGTATGGTGCACAAGAGGACCACACTCCTACTGAGTTTATGTTTCAGTACATGAAATGCTCATACAAATTCTCATAACGTCTTTAAAAGCCATATAAACCCAACATCTCCCACTTGGCCATTGGAAGCCTTACAATATCTCTTTCTAACATCCTATCCCCCCAATTACAATTCATCTCTCAAGCATTTTTTACTTATGCTATCTTATTATTACATTAATCATGGCTTTTGCAATCAATCATTTCACAAAGGATTTATGGAGGCAGCGACCCCTTTTTTTTTATGCTTGGATCTCATTATAAACATGGTCGTAGTTCATCTTTTATGTCGCATCACAAATTATGGACATGTTGTAAAAGATCATCATGTACCCGCATCGAATAGGATCATATTTTCATTGACTTAAAGTAGTTCTTCAATCAAGTTGCTCCCTTCTGTAGCCATACAAGTAGAGTCATGCATCCGGGTTCCAAGGGTGAACAACGGTAGGCTGTTTCAGCTGACATATCAAACACAAGCTAGTCCTCCAACTGGAATATTGAGTTTATCTTAATCTTTTCATAACATGATACCTGTATAACTGAATATCCAAGCAGCTAAAAATAATCATGGGATTATTAATAGCTTCCATTGAAACATAACACATAAGAAATATTATCACAGCATTTTCATGCCTGTGTCATGAGATAGTATAGCAAGTTTCATACTAAACAATAACTCAATGCCCGTTTGGTTTCGTAAAACCAATTTTCGAACCACAAAGGTTCAACCACACTAGTATCTTGATTGTAAATCCATACAAATCAAGTTGTCTAATCCACACAACACGTGTCTAATAGACCTAGCAAGATGACCTTCCTACAATATTCCATATGGTTCAAGGTCTCAAATAATCAAATATTTTAAATAACTAAAAACATGGGTCAAGGCATATGTATATTTAAAAACCAATGCATGATAGTTTTTCTCCCACTTTTATAAATACCTTCAAGAAACAATATTTTTCTCTTTATAAAAAAAAATTGACTTGGTATATATATATATATATATATATATATATGCATTCAC